GATTAGTGCCTATTTAAAACGTTTATAATAAACCCTTGCACTTGCAAAGAGCATGTATATAGTTCAGAGTAAAACCAATAGATGGCGTGGTGATTTAATTAAAACGTGGTTTTTGCACTTTCTACTTCGTCACCTAGGCTAGCTTCAAAAACAACACCGTTATCTGTGTGAATTGTAAAATTATATGTTTTGTAAATTTAAGATCTACCACCACCATACATAGCCTACCATATATAGTCTATAGACTTACCAAAGTATAATTATTATCTGCCAGTGTCACTTTGGGAGTATCGCCATTGATTTCAGTGTACGGATGTTTGATCCACATGACTTCCGGCAAGGGGCTGCCTTCCACGGGACAAGAAAGGGTTAACAACTTGCCCGTACGAGTTGCTATTACCTTGGAACTTTCTTTAGGTGTTGGGGGTGGTACTGAAAAATTAAATTCAAACTAACGTGCTACTAAATTTATCTAATTATCCTAGTAATTTTCTGAGTAACATATTTTAGACCACATGGTCTGTCCCTGTCGGTCCGTCCTTCCTTCAGTGACATATAAATTTCATTACAAGTACGTAGAAAATTAAAACTAAACGCAAGGATACTAGAACATTTCTTTGAAATTTTATAAAATACTGTATTAGATAACAAGTTCGACAGACCTACTGGGAATCGGAAGAAAATACCAGTGCTTCTATCAACTGAACGTTAGAACTAGTGGGAATAATCGGACAGAACTGACAGAACTACTGGGAATCGTAAATCTCAATGTTCTGTTAACAGAATAAATGGGAAGAAAAGTATCAGTAGGCCTGTCAACAGATCTATACAACAGAACTAGTGGGAATAAAGGAAGTAAAATTACCTAAGACATCGACGAGGTAGATCAAGCTAGCTTCACCAACTTTATTTTTGGCAACACAAGTGTAATTTCCGCTTTGATCGAATCTGAAATGCAATAATCATAAGCGGGTTTTACACAGACACTCTATTGCGCGTGATACAGCAATCGAGCGCGATTGAGCGCACGTGTAAAGACGTTGGAAGGAAAAGGGAAAAATTGTCCTGAAGTTTATCCTGCGCTACTGGCCTTTACACGATCTCTCTTTTTGTTGTAATAACGAACACGAGCAATTGCGTGCGAAAGAACGTTAGCTTAAAAAAATTCAAACAGGTGATCGCGCACGATTGCGCCTGCAGGCTTTTCCGCGCGCAATCCCGTATGCTCCTGATCATGCGTGATAGAGTGACTGTGTAAAGGAGGCTATAGTCATCATGACCGAAAATGGAGTTAGAGCCACCTGGACTGTCCGCCACTTTAAAATTTTTCTTGGATTTTTATAACGGGCTTTAAAACAAATAAAAAATTGTTAAATGAAACTATATTTTTTCGAATCCACATCGCATATATTTATTCTTTCCGACAAACCGTATCGTAACCTATCTTAAAGCGCTTAAAACGTTTCATGTTTGAAATAACAAATATTAGCGATTTATATCCGAAAAGAAAAAGTGTAGATTCCAATATGCAATACGCGGAAATATTTTTAATTAAAGATTCAACAACGTGAGGTGACAGAATGATTATAGCATAAATGATTTTACAAATACGTAAACTGCACGGCGCGTGTGACACGATCGAACCTTTTCGTCATCTTACGGTATGAGGCGCGGGAGTCGCGGAGGCGGAAGAATTTTGCTCGCTTCGAATACGGGTTATTGCAGCATAATAGTAGTTTCATATCCAAAGTGTTCACATTTATGAAAGCTCAAGAAGTTGGTACAAAAAAGAAATATTCTGTTTTTAACCAATGGTTCTCAATTTGACTGTATTTTTTTGTATACCTAAATTACGCGATAACTCATTTGTGAACCGATTTTAATCTCTAAAACTCATTTTTTTGTTTGAAAGAGGATACTTCAGCATTGGTCCCATTTGAATTTGAAGAAAATATTCCACCTCTAAGGGTGGCAAACTAGGGAAAGAATCCGGTTTCGCGCACTTTCCGGTAATCGATTTCAATAAAACTTGGCAAATATACTAATTCCAGGAACTTTTGAGGTCAGTTTTTTGTATAAATAAAGTTATTAAACGACTGTTCAAGCTGCAAAACAGGAGAAAGGTTATAGGTTAAAGGATATTAAAAGCATTATAGACAAAAAAATTGATCTGTTTCAGATAACGAGGTCCTGATTGATTGAAACTCTTACTCTCACGTTCGTCGGCCTTGCAAGGAGCGGGAGGCGGCCAAGTAACAATGAAAAATTACCTAGCCCTATCAACGGTCAGCACTTCGCCATAATCCTGGCGGATCATACTGTCATCAAACAACGTTAATGGCTGTCCATTTCTAAACCAGTACACTGCCGGTAACGGATTCCCGTAAGGGTGACAGTGTAAAGAGAATGACTGGTCTGATATAAGCTCTAGTTTCGTTGGTCCGTTTGACGCAGGCTGGAAAAGGGCATGGAAGATTTTTGGTGGCTCTGAAAGGAGAATAACAACTTATTTGAAAAATAATTATGCCTGTGACTCCGTCTTCTATTCTCATCTTGATTTCATCTGCCTACGTGGCTACTATGGCCGGACTGCCACGCAGAGGTCCCAGGTTCAATTCCCGGGTCGTCAGAAATATTAGTATGGCCTACATTTATTTCTCTCGTGAGTTTGGGTGTAATTTGTGGTTGTCTATGTGTGAGCCCATGGCATCCACGACACAGGGTTACCCTAATGCGGGGCTATGTTGAGTGTGTGCGTTATTATTACCATTATTACTATTTGTAATGAGTATACGACATTTTAGTACTTTTTTGTTAATCCTAGCTGATTAATGGAAGTACTATAGAAAAGGATATTTTATGCTTCTTTTTCCTGTCTTTCGATCCTGTACAAAATTCGACCAATTGTTTAGAGTGTGTGTATCTGCTACTGTAAGGGTTTCAACGCGTTCCCCCTGAGCTCTAATAATAGTGAATTTAGAATAAAGCGTTCTCAACAAGGCCACAATTTAAGTACGTGACATATTATCAAAAGAATTTACCCAAAACTTCAACTTTAACGTCAATTTCATCCATACCACCTTCATTAGAAACAATACAACTGTACATTCCGCCTTGTTTGACGTGCACATTATCCAGGACTAAATCAGCGTAAGTAATTTTTGGAGAATTTTCACTGAGCTTGATTCCGTTGTGGATCCATTGAATCGTCGGCGTGGGATGTCCTGATGATGTGCAGGATAACCTGACGCGCGTGTCCAACTGAAATGTGAATGCTGTAAAACTTCGTATGCTTGAAAATAAATAAATATGCAGACATCACCAAAATAAAAACTTTATAGAACATTGACTTACAATTATATGGACGTCGGGTCCGCGCTAAAGAGTGTCCGAACTTATAGGGCGTTAAAATCGTATACAGAGCGTCATTCACGCTTTAGTCTTCGTTTGTTCGACTGACAGCGAAGCAAGCAAAATTAGACAGTACTGCGATGACATTACAATTTAAATTCAACGTTTTAGCTTTTTCATATTCCTTTACACGTTTAAATAGGTTGACTTGGAACATTTTTTTCGTGGTTTTTGTATTGGACTCGTCGTCCATTTATTTGTAAGTCAATGTTATAGAAGTATAATTATTAATACAGAGATTGAACACTTCCAGTGCCAGACGCTATGCCAACTAAGCCACGGAACGAATCAGAGGACCTCACGAATTTATCTGTGTTTGTTGTCGGATCTTCGTATTTGGTTTTCAACGACTTTTTAGCCGTAACGCCATCTAAGAGAAATCTACGAAAGTGTTTCGTCACCCAGTTGACGTTGAAGAGATGTCGCTATTAACTGTAATTAAATTTTTATTGAACGTTAGAATGTTTCACCACCAAAAAATCCGGCCGGATCGAAGAATTTTCTAAGTGTACGATTTTTGTATTAATAATTAAAACAAACTAGTGGAGTAATTTCACAAAAAGTAATTGAATACATGGTGATGAAAAATTCTGACATTCAATAAAAATGTTTAATCTGTGGAGCAACCGCACCAAAAAATCCGACAGAGATTGCGACGTGGTGATATCATCACGATAATACATACATATGTTCCTTTATTGTTACCGAATGCTATAATAATAAAAGTTAGTCTACATAATAGGGTCGGCGGACTAAAACACATAACTCAAAATCAAACGTCATCTATTTAAATTAATGCATCTACTGGCTAAAGCACATAAGTCAAATTCATTTGTTACGAGCACTTCATAAATTTCGAACTTTATTCTAGAGGTTATTTAACTTCCAACACTAAAAACAACACAAAAATATATATAATTATACATTAACAAATGAAGCACTTTTTTATGTATGTGCTTTAGTCTGCCGACTCTAGAAGTAGTTCCAATGCTTGGCAGAGACCTTTCGCAATGAGCTTGGACTGTAGTCGGATATCTAAGATACAAGTAAACAATTTTACTTAGTTTAGGTATCCTAGATTAACTTGCACTGCTAACCTTAATTAAAGTTACACACTAACATACAAGCATTTCACTGTTTGCAATAGTCTGGCGCATATATGTAAATAAAAGGTTGTTTAATAAGATTCATGTAGTTTGCTCTGGCCACACAGAGGCCGTAGCGGGAGCGTTCTGCGGCCGGAAATTTTTGTAATGCTCGAGTTCATATGCAATCTGCTACATTCAAACGAAACGCATTGACAATATTATTTTTAAGCGAGAATAAAGCTTTATTTAGTGAATAGAATGTAGAATATAATTCCCAAGCGGGCCTAATGCGGATTGAGAACTTCACACACACCATTAAATTGCTTTGCAGATGTGTGTAGGTTTTCTCACGACATCGAGTGTATAACCAAAAATAGAGACGAAATAATCCATCCCTGGCAACTCATCAGGCAAATGGACCTTACATCACTTTGAAATATCAACTCCCATTTGCACTGAAATCACAAATTAGAAAGCTGAAATAGTACAGCGCCAACAACTGATCTGTGTGTACGTCTACGTATATTCCTAAATAAATAATAATAAAGTAATAATAAATAAAGTAATAAATACTGTATTTCTAACTATGGGGGGCTGTTGCATTTGGTGGTATGGGAAAAACAGCAAAACATCTAATTATAAAACAAACGGAATCACATTTCATCGGTAATTAAAAATTGAAATATGTAATTTTTCAATTTTCGTCTATTATAGCAAACTTAAACTGGTCGATTTGACGTGCTGGTCAATCGGAGCGCAAATGTCACGGTAATGATTTGACAGAATAGTTTTCAAACAAATTAAATGACATTTCGTCTCTATTTCTGGTTATATACTCGATGCCTCACGACATTTTATTTCACCGCCACCGCAAATCTGATGGTAAATTTCATATTAAATTTCGCATATAATTCGGAAAACATCACAGGTGCAGTCTACTTATGGGGCGGTACGTCAATCAGGATACCACGTCTGTATAATAAATTTATAAATATTATTTCGTACCTCAACTTCCAAAACACTCTGTACAGTCTCTCCACCGTTCTCCCCCTGTCTGTATACGACCACATCCTCCACCGTTGCAGGTGCCACTATAAAAACTCGATACACAATATAAGTAGCACCAGCTTTATTCATTGCATCACAACGGAATGTGCCTTCAGAGTCAACTGATGCGTTGTAGATTGTGAGGGACGAGTTTTGGAGATGCCAGTTCGTGTTGCTGGAGAAGAAAAGTATTAGACAGTTTTTGTAAAATAGTGTTTTTTTATTATATCAAGTAATGAAAGTAATACTCCTGGGGTTAGTATCACGCCATTGCAAAGATCTGGGGGTCACTAGTTTATGTTTATTTCTAGCATCGAGTACTTATCTGACCACAAGTAGAGACGAAATGTCATATAATTTTTTGGAAACTAGAATAGTTTACAAAAAATCATTACTGTAACAAATTGCCCTCCGATTGGCCACGACTCGAAACAACTGATGGGTGTCGTCAATTGTTTCACTTCAAATCGACCAGTTTAAGACTGTTTAGACGAAAATTGAAAAATTACATATTTAATTACCTATGAAATGTGATTCTGTTCGTTTCGTAATTAGATGTTTTGATGTTTCTCCCACACCACCGAATGGAACAGCCCTCCATAGTTAGAGATATAATCTTTATTACAATAAATACAGAATATTTTTGGAATATACTGAGACGTAGACACATGTCAGTTGCTGGCCAGTGCCAACAACTAACCTGTCTACGTCTTCGAAATAGTACAGTTACTATTTCGGCTTTCTATACAGTCAATGATTTCTAGTGTTATATGTATATACGTCTGATCTCTTCACTATATCATTCATTGTTTCGTATATCTCTAATAGTGATCTGTATATGTATATACAATAACAATAATAATAACGCACACGCTCATAACCCCGCACTACGGTAACCCGTAACCCTGTATCGCGGGTGCACTGGACACACACACACAGCCAACCACAATTTTCACCCAAACTCACGAAAGAAATAAATGTAGGCCATACAAATATTTCTCTCGGCCCGGAAATCGAACCCGGGACCTCTGCGCCACTCCACCATGATAACCGTTCGGCCACGGAGGGAGTGACAATGAAATTATATACAATCATTATTATATACTTAACTTAAAACTAGATGGAACGTTAAAAGAAGAATTTTCTTACTTGTAACTCCATTGGATGTTAGGTTTAGGCAAACCTTTAGCGTCACATTCGAGTGTTGCGTTAGTGCCCTCCAGTAGCTGGACATCCAATACGTCGAAATCGGATATAAACGGTGGCACTGGAAAATAAAAATTTAGTAGCACTAGAACTCCTTGTGAAAGAATTCGTCCATGGTGGTACTGCCACCTTACCTATTTCTGCCGCCAAGCAGTAATGTCAGCATTACTGTGTTCTGGTTTTGAAGGGTTAAGGGTGCTGGTGAAATTACAGGAACATGGGGTTTGTCAACTTATGTCGCCGGGTGACGGGCGCTGTGGCAGTGCCCTTTAGATCTTTGCGATTTAAAGCTCTGAGTGGTACTGCAACTGTTATGGACAGGCGCGTCGCTTACCATCAGGCGCACGACTCGTTCGTTCCGTTACTTGATATTATAAAAAAAAGTTTCAGGGCAATGGACTCTCGTGTCACCGACGATCCAAAGCTTAAAGATTACCACAAATTACATACTCAACCCGTGACCAAGGAGCGTGTAACCGTTCCGAAACATCGGGAAAATAAAAAGAAATATAGTGGCAAAAAACCTGTAACTAGTAAATGAGCACGAAAGTCTTTAAAATCTACAATTCAAAACTTGCTACCTTAAGGGAGTCTTGGTGTCGTATTCCAGAACTCTACTCAATGCTCAAGTCAGGACTTGAGAAGACTTGAGTATGATTTCAAGCACTGGAAATACGACCCTATTGGCAAGGACTTGAGTATGATTTTCAGTGCTCACTGCAATACTCAAGTCAGGACTTGAGTATGATTTACATCACTGAAAATCATATTCAAGTCCTTGCCATTAGGGTCGTATTTCCAGTGCTTGAAATCATACTCAAGTCTTCTCAAGTCCTGACTTGAGCATTGAGTAGAGTTCTGGAATACGACCCTAAAAGTTGTTGCAGCGCCATTAAAATACAAACCCAAAACATCTAAAGTGAACTGCCTCGCAACGGTACCGTGTAAATTACCAACGACGCATTTATAAACTCCCGTATGACGTAATTGTATATCTATTAACTTGAGAATTTTCTTGTCTTGACCAACTAGTGGACGGGCATTGAAATACCATTTTGCCTGAAAAGAAGATTTCATAAACACCTTGGAAATGATATACAGATATTTTTGTAACTGTAGAGCTCCTTGTGAAAGAGTTCGTCCAGGGAAGTACTGCCACCTTACCTATTTCTGCCGCCAAGCATAATGTGAGCATTACAGCGTTCCAGTTTTGAAGGGTAAGGATGCTGGTGAAATTACAGACACATGGGACGTGTCAACTTATGTCTTAGTGTGACGGGCGCAGTGGCAGTGCCCCCCAGATCTTTGCGATTAAAGCTCTAAATGGCACTACTACTCTTACGGCACCATTAGTCGCTTGACTTGTTTCTTCCGTCACTTGATATCAGAAAAAAACTTTGTATGCGTAACATACACAATCACTATTAAAAGAACAAATAGCATTTGCAATTGCATTTAATACATATATATTGCAGAATACTACGATTTAAAAGAAAAGAGTAAAATAAATTTTAACATGAATAATGCACTGATCTTGTTACGTGAAAAAAATTTTAAGACACTAGAAAAAAAACGTCTGTTGGTTATGCTACGGCCGTACTAGGTTTTAATGGCATTCATTTATCGCATTTATACAGGGTGGTCGGAGAGATGACGTCTAAAAGGTTTTGTTTACAAAGTTACGCATAATTTTATAAAATACATTCATTACCTTAGCTGCTGGCTTCGCATCAACATCACAATTAAAATAATTGTCATTTCCCTTTACTACCTCAATGTTATCTGTTAAGTTGTCAATAAACTGCGGCGGCCATTCAACATTAAGGTGCACTAAAGAATGCATAGACGCAACCATGTTCGATACTACGCAAGCGTACATTGATGCGTCGTGACGTGTTATGTTTTGTATTTGTAAGGGGCTAGTTGAGATCAACTTTGCGTCCTGAAATTTTATATATTTTAAAATATTAATATCGTTCCTTGGTGTAATAAAACCACATATAATAATACGTCAAAAGCTTTTTTATTTCATCACAAGTCATAAAAATAATGCGATTGATGAAACAATATACAGGCTGTATATTTGAAAGTGAGACATATTCATACATGTCATAGTAAATCATGTTACAACTTAACATAGACTAAAATAAAATTAGGATATGGGATAGAACAAAAATAAATCAACAAAATGTGTTTTGAATTGTACATAGGAATAAACCGTTTCCCTTTACGCTTGATTTCGAGTGCAATGGGAATACTACCAAGCGAGTGCCGAATAAGACAGCAACTATACTTAACAATGATTTCACATTAACGTTTTAGCTTATGTTAATTATTTTGTACTTGAACTATCATCGAAATATTTTACGTACTAAAAAAGATAAGTTTATGATTTAGTAACTAGTTGTCATTTAATAAGAATTGAGGTTTTTGGCGTAGTTAAAAATGTGAAATCAAATTATTTACAATGATTGATTTTTTCGTTATTTGCAGTTTATTTACACATACGTGTTACGGAGCAAGTGTTCAAAATGGCCACCGTGTTCCACAATGCATAGTCTAGCACGGCATAGTAAATTTTGTTTTATATTGTACAACACAAACACATTTTGTCTCACAGTATAAAATGCTGAAATAATCCTCTCACGCAACACTTCGACACTGTTCACCTCCTCCGCGTAAACTCCGATTTGCGAACATTTCAATAGCTTCCCTCACACTATCACCACTTATCGCGTAAAGTCGCACCATCTCAGTCAATTCGACGTTAGAATAAATATCCGTTTTGCTGTGATCGGGCGAGCGGAAGTGCAAATAATTTACTATCTTTGTTAGATCTAGGTCGCGCGTGCACTGAGTAAAGTAAAGTAAGTGGGGGCGCTCGCGCCCCCACCCGCGACCTGTGCTTTGTTTTTCGCCGCCGTGTCGCCACTCGCCGCTGCGTCGGAGCAATAATAGTGATGTGCATAGATTTCGATACCTAAAGTAGTTTAAGTTCATTAGTTTATTATTTCTTTCGGTTCAGAATCAGGAATATAACGCACTCTGTAAGTATGTCCCACTTTCAAATATACAGCCTGTATATATAATATATGTAAATTAATATTTTAAATATATAAATATGTATACATGTATGTATGTATGTATATAGAAAAAGTATGTATATAGAAAAGTGTATATATATATATACACTTTTCTATTTAAACAAAAAAAAAAGGTTATCGACAAACTTCATATTGTTAAATGTCTCCTGGAAAGTTGTCATTTTACGAGTGTGGCCTTATCCAAAAGGTGCAAATTCATGGCAGGCAGTGACGTTTGCTCAAGTACGTTTCTATCTATAATATTGATACCTCCGATGAACACTACTTAATTTTTGAACCTGTTCTGTTTTATGTTGTTTTTGTTTCTTTTTTTTTCATAAACTTGAATTTTTTAGGAAATGAAACCATTTTTCCGGATTTCAATCGCGTATATTTGTTTCTTCAAACAAACCGACGTTTCGCCCTTTACAGGTCCCATGGTCACGGTTGACTAAAATAAAAATAGTTTCATTTCCTATGTGTAACAATCGCGAAAACCTAAGAACTCGATATGTAATTTTTGTTTAAGAAATAAAAATATTTTTAAATTTGCACAAAGCATTTATTAACTCTATGTCACAAGAAGAAATCGAACCTTGTACCATTTTACTTTGTCGGCGTGAGAAGCGCGAATGGGGCATTCGATGTCAACGTTGGTTCCTTCCAATACCGTCTCTGTAGAAATTGTTTCGTCCGCTTGCATTCTTGCGGGGACAGCTGAAATTAGGCACTTTGGTTAAATTCAGCAATTTTTTATTGGTCATAAATGGACGCAGTTAAGCAAAAAGTATCCAATCCACAAAATTATCAAAAAATGAGTTATATGTACCAAACGGTTCCTAAAGTCCAACCTCTTAGATCAGCAAAAAATTACATCATATAAACATAAACAAATATCTCTGGAGTTATATGACATCATAACTTTTGAAAATAAAATGAAACTGAGAAACATTTTTAAACTTCAAACTGCCGTATCTCGAAAGTGACTGGATGTGCGTTGGATTCTTTTTATTTAACTACGTCCAAATAATAAAGCGCTCGACTATCACATAAATTATTGAATTGAAAGACACTTTTTTAAACAGGTTCTGGTCCGGATGTTCTTCGGAGATAATTCCGATGCTCTGGTACAGGGAATTCCCTAGTTTAACACCAGAAAATGGGTTAGGTTGTCGGGTACATTATTATTATTTTATAAGTAGTAACAATCAGGTTCGAAGTGATATTTATTATAGATCAATTATTTATTTTGGTAAAATTATTTGGAAAAACAAAATGTTACCGCTAGTAAAGCCGTGCATTAGAGACGTATCCAAACGTGTCAAATGTCAAGGCACAAACCAAATCGTTTTCGCAAAGATTTTTCTTCGTGTTTAGGCCGGCCATATATAGTCGGAATCCTGTTTTTAGTTTGTTTTTATCGGTACTTCGAAAAGGAATTTCGAAAGCTGCAAAACTATATGCCGATATTCCCAAACGGAATTTCGAAACGGAATATGTGTAACGGAAAACGGGTATGTGGCCGGCGTAATATAATTTTCTCTCTGTTATCATTTTTAGTTAAAAATTAAATAGACAAAACTATGAACCAGGATGGATAATTATCGAAGACAATTATTATCATGATTAATATCAAACAAAAGAATTATATTGATAATTTCGGACCCTGGTAACAATATACTTACAATATATTTGCACAGACACAGTTTTGTTAGCCATTCCAACCGCATTCTTTGCTATACAAGTGTACAACCCGTTTAAATCCTCCGAAGGAGCCTTTATTGTTAACGTGCCATCGACGTCAATGTTGTATTGAGAATCTGTAGAATAATATATAATTTTTTGTGAACAATGGATTTATAACTCCGTGTCACAACCACAATATCATATTCGAAATCTATGGTTTTGAATCGGAACAACAAATGTAAAAAAATGTTGGTAGGTCTTGGTGAGAGCAAGATTTTTTCCAATGTATGAAAATGGCATTTTAATTACCATAAAGGTATCATAATAGTAAAACACGATGATATTTAATAAATAAATATTGTAGATTATTCTAAATATCAATTAATACAAACCTTTATCCAAATATCTGTTGTCCTTTGTCCATGAAACGAAAGGCTCGGGTTTCCCGTTCACCCGGCAAGAAATCACGATTACTTTATCTCTACTTGTTGCTATAAAAGGGCCTGGGTAGTTGTCTTGCAGAATTGTAGGCGGCTCTGGAAGGTTAGGGACCCGTGTCCAGTAATGCTATATGTTATGATTAAATAGGTATAAAATATGTATAAGCGTTTATGTTCACGCACGCTGATAAACAATTACAGCATGTTACAATGCCGTTCTTTAAATTTAATGTGTCTATAACTAGTCATTAGCGGGCTTTACACAGACACTCTATTGCGAGTGATACTAGTGAGCAATCGTGCGCATTGAGCGCACGTGTAAAGACGTTGGAAGGAAAAGGGAAAAACCACGCGATCACGCTCAACAGTCGCGCGCGCAATCGCGCGTTCTAAGGTTGCCTTTTACACGGACGCTCTTCCGTTGTAATAAGAACGAACACGAGCAATCGCGCGCGAAAGAACGTCGTGACGTCTACCGCATTTGAAAAATAAAACCTAAATTATATATATAAACTACACTACATACATAGGTCGCACTATAAGTTTCCGGAACTGGCCACTTACATAAACAATATTTAAAAAGTAATTACAACATTTGAAAATGGAACTCTTTGGCTGTAGAATACAGTTTGTTTTATCTGACTGTCACTTGTTTTTACATTATGGCGTCACTTTAGAAATTGGTTGTCTACATCACCTAAATCCATGGTGATGTAGACAACCAATTTCTAAAATGACCATGGATTTAACTCGTGAAAATTTTCTTAGTATGATTTTCGACGACTTTAAGTGTAATTTAACAGCTCAGCAGAGCTTCGCTCGGCTTCAAACTGTTTTTGGCGATGAAGCACCATGCAAGACGACTATTTATTTATAGTTGATTTGCAGAATTCAAACGCGGTCGTGTGAATCTCAGTGATGAATTTCGTGATGGTCGCCCGTCCACTGCTGTAAACAACAAAAACATCGATGCTGTGCGCCGTATGATCAAAACAGATAGGCATGTGACATACCATGAGATTCGGGCATCTTAAGGCATAGGCATGACTCAAAACAATCAATACTACACAAAAATTTGGGTGTGAAAAAACTCTGCTCTCGGTGGATCCCACACAATTTGTCTGAGTCTCAAAAATCGGATCGCGTCACTTGGTGCAATGCCATGCTTACCAGATTCAACGAAGGGGCGCAAATTTGGTGTGGGACATAGTAACAGGTGACGAAACATGGATTTATAGTTACGATCCCAAAACAAAGCAGCAATCGAGCGTATGGGTCTTTCGAGATGAGCTGAAACCAACCAAAGTGGCGCGCGTGCAAAGTACCTCTAAGCGGATGATTGCTTCTTTTTATAATAAAACTGGACACGTGGCTACTGTTGCTTTGGAAAATCGTTGTACCGTATAGTGATTGGTACACGACCATTTGTTTGCCGGAAGTTATTGACAAACTCTGTAAAAATAACCGTAAACGCCGTATCATCTTGCACCACGATAATGCCAGTTTTCACACGGCCAGACAGACAAATGAATTTTTGAAGGTGACCAACGTTGACTTTATCAACCATCCCGCGTACAGTCCCGCCACGTTGTGACTTTTATTTATTTCCAAAAATTAAGAACCAGTTACGCGGTCAACGATATTCATCACCTGAAGAGGCTGTCAAAGAGTATGAAAAATATGTTTCAGAGATTGTCACGGAGGAGTGGCATAAATGTTTTATAAAAGTGCATTAACGCTAACGGAGAATATTTTGAGAAACAATAAACTCGTTTCTGACCATTTGTAGTATTTTTTTCTTGTTCATTCCGGATACTTATAGTGCGCCCCATTGTTATTTTTTTATTTACTTTCATACTTACCATAGACGTTCAAGTAAATAGATTTCTTCACAAACCCAGCAATGTTTTCAGCAATGCAAGAGTACATACCCTCGTACTTAGAACTCGAGTTGCTTATATAAATGTTCCCATATTCATTGAAACTGATATAAACAAAAGAATATAATTAATTATATAATAATATTAATGCCCTAGCCACACACACGGAATTTTTGTAATGTACGAGTTCGTATGAACCCTGCCACACACAGAAACCCGCGGCGGCATCGCCTCAGTCGTGTATAAGAATCTTGGAGAACGTGACGTTTACACTAGTTTGTAATAATGTCTGAAATAATAGCTGAGTGCGAGGTAAATGAAGTACCTATTTTTAAGTTACCAATATATCGTCTCTTATTTCCTCCTTTTCGTTCATATTTACTCACTGGCTTTTACCTATTCTTAAAGTGATGCATCCAAATTAAAACCCTTGATAAGAAATTTAAAATAAATACAAAGTTTTGCCATCTGAATAATTACTCTTTATAAGATACGAGTTTGAGAAAGTATGGCATCGACATGGTACTGCATTCTAAGTTTGACAAATAAATTAAACGGTAACACAATCAAAAGTTTGATAATAGGTAAAAAATAAAGAATTAAACGGCATCATTGCAAAGGTTTGTCAGATTATGAGCAGAAACATCAACTTACCTTGACAGATAATTTGTAGAAACAGTGGTACAAATGGTAACTAAATCTGAAAGATACAATATCTGTCTATCGAGAGGCTATCTATTAGAACCTAATGCAAACGGTGTATTTTATACACGCCGACGACGGCGTATGTCATTTGCGCGTATACGCGCAGTAGTCGCGCATTTTGATAAGAGATAGTATACACTAATTTTAACATTGTTTGTTAATTTTAGTTACTTTTTTAAATGAAGTAACTACATGAAACTCTAAGAGTAAACTCTAGTGGAGTACAGGAAATGAAACTATTTTTTAGGATTTACATAGTGTGCATTTGTTTTTTCAAACAAACCAACGTTTCGGGCCCTTTACATGTCCCATGGTCACGGTTGACTGGTCCAGTGGAGAATATAAATATTCGTTTTTTTTTAAATTTCGAATCGATTTCAGAATCGAACGCACTATTCGAACGCGTCTGTATCGCGTTTATAAAATACGCCGAGTGCATAGAAATTTCCTTAAGAGCCTTCTTAAGGAAATTTCTTAATTTCTTAAGGAAATTTCTATATTCAATCTTTGGTGAAAGTAACGGTTGTGACTTGAGCCATGAAATACTCCTATGCTCTATAACTAGATTAAAGACTGACAAATTCAATAGAGACCTTGGCCATGTTGTGGAAATTTCAAGAACTTAATATCTTCAACTGATTCGAAGATGGATGTCAAATAGAACGCGCCGTCTTTTCAGGGTTCTGTATTAACTTGCCAGTATTTACTTTGAAAAGAAATGTTTTGAGTACCTTAACTCTGTAGTGTTTTCCATAATTAGTTGATCTCGGAACTCCCACAAAATAGTAGGTACTGGAAAACCGATAGCATCACATTGCAGGGTTATGTTATTTCCTGATATTACACTTTGCGAAGTCTTCAATGGCGAATGTATAGATGGCGGAACTAGAAAAACAGTACAGACATTATTGGCGATCTACATCATACCATTCTTTGCCGTATCATTCTTTTTGACCTTTGGTTTTCAAAATTCAGGCTATCAGCGCATAAGTGGTGTAACCCACATTTATTTTTTTTTCTACAATGTTACTTTAAATTCTACAAATGTAAATAATTATTATTACGCTAATTTCATGTATATTTTTTTTAATTATTAATATTTTTATACATGAAAATAGCATCTAAATATAAAATAATTATTTACTTTAGCTTTTTAAAGAAATATATTAGAAAAAAAAACTAAAATTTCGTATATTAGAAAAAAACTAAAATTTCGGTTACACCACTTTTGCGTTGATAGTTTAATTATAGTTTTTTTTTTTTATATGACTGTACCCTTTCAAAAAAAGCATTATACAGAAGTGCACGCTACATCGTCGACGTCATCCTCACTTTCCATCAGGTGAAATAGAGGTCTTATGCGCGCTTAATTGTATTTTTTAAATGCCACTTACCCCAAATGAGTACAATAAATGTATATGTGGCGTTTCCATACTTATTTCTGGCTGTGCAAGTATATTCACCAAAATCTGTTAAGTTGGCTACAAATCTGTAAAAAAATGAGCTTTTGTTTTGTGATACACTCCCGAACGCGTTGGCTCGCCATCTTGTATTTTTATTCTTAGAGCTAGAAAACAAATACGAACAAAAAGATCAAAAATTCGAATTTTCAACAAGGTTTTTACATAGGGCAAACTATAAGTTTCCGGAACTTACATAAACAATATTTAAAAAGTAATTACAACATTAGAAACTGGAACTCTTTGCCTGTAGAATACAGTTTGTTTCATCTGACTGTCACTTGTTTTTACATTGTGGCGTCATTATAGTAATTGGTTGTCTACATCACCATGGATTTATAACTCCTGAAAAATTTCGTAGTATGATTTTCTATGACTTTAAGTGTAATTTAACAGCTCAGCGGAGACTCGCTCGGCTTCAAACTGCTTTTGACAATAAAGCACCATGCAAGACGAGTATTTATAGCTGGTTTGCAGAATTCAAACGAGGTCGTGTGAATCTCAGTGACGAATTTCGTGATGGTCGCCCGTCCACTGCTATGAACAACAAAAACATCGATGCTGTGCGCCGTATGATCAAAAGAGACAGGCATGTGACATGCCATAAGATTTGGGCATCTTTAGGCATAGGCATGAGTCAAATACAATCAATACTACACAAACATTTGGGTGTGAAAAAGCTGTGCTCTCGGTGGATCCCACACAATTTGACTGAGGTTCAAAAAACGGATTGCGTCACTTGGTGCAATGCCATGCTACCAGATTCAACGAAGGGGCGTCAAATTTGGTGTGGGACATAGTAGCAGGTAACGAAACATGGATTCGAGATGAGCCGAAACCAACCAAAGTGACGCGCGTGCAAAGTGCTTTTAAGCGGATGATTGCTTCTTTTTTTGATAAAACTGGACATGTGACTACTGTTGCTTTGGAAAATCGTTGTACCATGAATAGTGATTGGTACACGACCATTTGTTGGGCGGAAGTTATTGACAAACTCCGTAAAAATAACCGTAAACGCCGTATCATCTTGCACCACGATAATGCTAGTTCTCACACGGCCAGACAGACAAATTAATTTTTGAAGGTGAACAACGTTGATCTTATGAGCCATCCCGCGTACAGTCCCGACCTGGCACCATGTGACTTTTATTTATTTCCAAGAACCTGTTACGCGGTCAACGATTCTCATCACCTGAAGAGGATGTCGAAGAGTATGAAAAATATGTTTCAGAGATTGTCACGGAGGAGTGGCATAAATGTTTTCGAAATTGGTTCTTTAGTATAAAAGTGCAGGAACGGAGAATACTTTGAGAAACAATAAATTCATTTCTGACCATTTATAGTATTTTTT